TGAGGACGAGGTCTCCTACTTGAAATCGTCTGGTGCGGACTTTCCTGTCAAAGGCTGCCTGCATCTTTTGCTTGAACTCTACGGATCGCAGCCAGGCTTCCTCTCGCACTTCTTCTATCATGTCGAGGGCCTCTTTTGCTAACTCTTCATTGGTCCTTTCTTTATAGAATGTCGACCTGTGAGATTCCAGTCCGACCTCGATGGGCAATAGGACGTCCATTCCGTAAACCATGTGGAATGGTGATTGCCCTGTTGAACTTCTCGGGGTCGTCCTATAGGCCCATAGGACCGTTGTCAGCTCGTCGACCCAGGCACCAGATGCTTTTTCCAGTCTTTTCTTTAGCCCTTGCAAGAGGGTTCTGTTTGTCACTTCGACTTGGCCATTCGCCTGAGGGTGCGCAACTGAGGCGAATCGCTGCTTGATCCCCATGTCGACACACCACGCCTGGATCCGCTTTTTTTGAAATTGCGTCCCATTATCTGAAATCAAGATCTTTGGGATCCCAAATCGACAGCAGATATTATTGAACAGGAAATGTATCATTTTGTCTTCAGTGATTTTTGCCAGAGGTTCTGCTCCTACCCATTTGTTAAAGTAGTCGACGGCAACCACCATAAATTTTCGTTGCCCTGTTCCCATTGGCAATAGGCCTACCAAGTCGATTCCCCATTAAGCAAAAGGGATCGGGCAGCTGATTTTCATCATTGCTTCGGCTGGAACGTGAGGGATTTGTCCATGCCGCTGGCATCTATCGCATCCTTGTACTAATCGTTCGGCTGCCTTTCAGATCTTGGGCCAATAATAGCCTGCTCGAAGGGCTTTGCCAGCTAGGGCTCGTGATCCCATATGTGCTCCGCAACAGCCTTCATGGATTTTCTTCAAGACATCATCCCCTTCTTTTTCAGAAACGCATCGCAGGTGGGGTTCGACCATTGACTTCTTATACAAGACTCCTTCAATTTCAAAATATTTACTCAAATATCGGGCTGCTTTTTCAGCCTCCTGCTTATCTCCTTCTGGCACTCGACTTTGTAATAGCTCACGGATTGCTCTTCGCCAATCTTGGTTTTCGTCGACCTCCATTGTCTCACTCAGGACACTTCTCTCCAAGTGTAGTGTGGTAACATGATTCCCATTTTTCCTTCATTCGAGCTTGCAATTCTTGCGAGCCAGTTGGCTCGCTTGTTCTCTTCTCGAGGTACTTGCGTTAGCTCTAAACTTTCCAAGCCTTGCACTAGGCTCTGAATTTCTTCGACATATTTTATCATCCGATCCTCTTTGATTTCGCAGTTTCCCAATACTTGCCCCACAACTAGTTGTGAGTCAGAATGTGCCATGATTTCCGTCGCTCCGCCCCCGATTGCCAGTTGGATCCCCTTAATTAGAGCCTCGTACTCTGCCTCGTTGTTCGAGGCCTTAAATCCCATTTTGATGGCAAAGTCGAGCTGTTCGCCTTCGGGGGATACCAAGGCCACTCCCAGACCAGACCCTTTGGCTGACGAGGATCCGTCGACGTGCATTATCCATTTCTTGCTTGCTCCTCTAGTTCTTTCTTGGATAAAGCCGGCTAGAGCTTGGGCTGTTATAGCTCGTCGAGGTTCGTACTTGATGGAAAATTCGTTAAGCTCCACTGCCCACTTTACGAGCCGACCCAACACAGTAGGTCGACCCAGGGTCTCTCCGAGCTGGAAATTCGTCCTTACTATTATCACATGGTTCAGGAAATACGGCCTCAATTTTCTGGCTGTGAGTACCAATGTTAATGCGGGCTTTTCGACTTCGAAATATCTCGCTTCTGCACCTTGAAGTACTCGACTTGTATAATAGATCGGCTGTTGGGCCCCTCCAGCTTCTCTCAGTAATACCGAGCTTAGAGAAAATATTCCCACCGAGATATAGAGCACCAATTCGTCGCCCGGCTCAGGCTTTGTTAACAACGGTAGTTCGCTCAAAAACTCCTTCAACTTTTCAAACGCCATTTGAGCCTCGTCATTCCACTGAAAAGCTTTTTTCTTAAGTAACTTGAAGAATGGAAAACTATTTTCTGCAGCTCGAGATATGAATCGACTTAGGCCTGCAATTCGACCTGTCAGGACTTGCACTTCTCTAACGTTCTTTGGCGGAGCCATGTCGAGTATGGCTTGCACTTTGTCCTTATTTAATTCGATGCCTCTTTCAGTCACGACATAGCCTAGGAATCGTCCTGCCCTCACTCCCAAAGGCACATTTACTCGGGTTTAGTTTCATTCCAAATGTTCTTAATGTCGTAAACGTTTCCCTCAAATCCTCCACATGCGAGATCGAGGACCTACTTTTCACCAAGATATCGTCCACATAAAATTCAATATTTCGTCCGATCTGTGATTTGAACATTCGATCCATCAACCTTTGGTATGTTGCCCCCGCATTTTTAAGCCCAAAAGGAATGACGACATAGCAATATGTCCCTTTGCTCGTCACGAAACTAACTTTGCTTTGATCCTTAGGAGCCAACGGAATTTGGTGATATCCCTGGGACGCGTCCAAACATACTTAGCAATTGACAGCCAGCTGTGGAGTCGACCAGCTGGTCGATTCTCGGCAGGGGGTAGTGGTCCTTTGGGCAAGCTAAATTCAAGTCGCGAAAATCGATGCACATGCGCCACTTATTTAGCGCTTTTCTCACCATCACTGTGTTTTATGTCCAATCGGGAAATTGAATTTCTTTGATATGTTTGGCCTTCAGCAACTTGTCCACCTCAACCTTGATTGCTTTATCGATCTCTGCCCCGTGACGCCTAAGACGCTGCTTCACAGGTTTTTTGAGGGGGTCGACATTAAGTTTATGCTCCATGACATCGGGGTTGATTCCCATTAACTCTTCGGGGGAAAAAGCGAATATGTCCCTGAATTCTTTCCGGAGTCCCACCAACTGTCGACGCAACTCATCTTCCAATTCTCGCCCTATTTTGGTGGTCTGTTCCCCTTTTTCCCCGATTTAAATTTCCATTAATTCTCCATGTGGCTCGAGGTCACTCTCCCTTTGTCTTTTTTCGCTTGACATTGGCTTTTTCCCTTCTTTTACCTCCGTCCGTTGGTTTGTTCTTACTGCAATCTGATAACAGGTTCTTGACAGCCTCTGGTCCCCTCGGGCCTCCCCGACTTTATCTCTCACGGGGAATTTTAGTTTCATATGGTAGGTTGATACTACTGCTTGGAATTTGTTGAGTGCTGGCCTTCCCAGAATCACATTATAGGCTGACTCGACGTCGACTACGACAAATCGTACCATTTTCACTTTTCTTAAGTCGCCTTCCCCCAGGACGACAGCGAGCGTGGTTTCAACTAGGGGTGCGACTTTCGAGCCATTAAATCCAAAAAGTGAGGTGTGTAGGGGTGAGAGCTCGATGTCGAGTTCCATCCGCTTAAGAAAATTGTAAAAAATCACGTTCACCGAGCTTCCCGTGTCGACAAAGATTCTTTGTACTTCATAGCCCGATATCTGAGCTGTGATCATTAGGGCATCGTTGTGAGGTCTCTCGACTTCTCCCATGTCTGCTGGTCCAAAATTCATCACTGGACCGTTTTCCTCGACCTGTTGCACTTCGATTTTTCCGTGGTGCCCTCGAGCATATACCTTTCTGGCCCGATTTGAATCTCCATCAGTCGGCCCTCCAAATATCATGTGAATTACTCCTCTTTTCTGAGGGAGCTCCTCCTTGTCGGGTGTCCTCGCTCTCTTGTGAGGGCTTTTGCTTCTCTCCCTGCGTCGACTGGTTCGCTCTCGATCCTTATAAATGAATTCCTTCAGATGGCCTGCTTTGATTAGTCTCTCAATCTCATTTTTTAGGTGCCGACATTCATCGATATTGTTGATATCATTTTCCGTAAGACAGATTAAACGACATTAACCCACTGATTGAGATCGGTATAATGGTGATTAGAGTTCATGCAAACAAGTGACGCTTCCACCAGCTTCAAGATGACTACACAAAGAAAGATTCAGCAAGAACCGACATCTTTACTAAGTTGGCCGATATCACATGTCGGTCAACACATGTCGGTCAACACATGTCGGTCAACACATGTCGGTTACTACATATCAGTCACAACATACCGGTTATAACTGGGTGGACCGATATCTATAACATGCCACCTCAGCATGGTAAGGCGGCGACAACTCAGCATAATTCATCATTACGTTTATCCAAGTGGCAAGCTATCAAGAGAAGCCATCAAAGACCGCCTTTGACCTTTCAAAGTGTAATGATTATTGTACAGATAAATATGGTATGTAAATATAAAAGGGAAATAGAGAATTTCCCAGAAAAGACAGACAAGAATAACATCTGACTAAAAATTACCTTTCCAATCATAATATACAAGCTTTTCATCGCTGAACACTTAGATTTACTTCAAAAACATTCCAATTTAGTTGTTGTTAATTTCCATTTGACAACAGTTTGGCGCTAGAGGAAGGGGGGCTTTCGCCTTGCGTTGTATTTAATTGTCACGTGAACAGAAGCTGTTTTCACGCTCAGTCATTATGTCCCAGTCTGGTCGAGACCACGCCACTCACCCTGGGCAGAGCCAGTCAACTAATCATTCCCCGCGGCGTACAACGCCACCACCTCCGGCCGCGAATATTACGAACTTCCTTCAAAATCCGGAGTTCATACAGGGTTTGTCTTCATTAATAGCTCGAGCCATGCCTAGAAACTCGAGCACGATGCCGTTAACTACTAACCCAACAGAGCGTCCTACTCATAGTCATCATGATCACGAGGCACATGTTGCGACGTCACATGCCACGTCGCAACCCCATCATACCTCCCCACGTCAAGAAGAACCAGTTCATATAATTGTTAATCCTGTAACGAACAATCAAGCCCAAGATCAACCCCCTGTGCAGGAGATGACTGCTGAAAGTCATTCTGCTCATCGCCAGAGAGTTTCCCCACGTCCTAGGCCCATCTCATCAGCACCTCACGTTCGCGAAGATTTACGACGCCAAATCGAGCGCAATCGTCCTTCAAGACATAGTACGGAGGAAATTGAAACCCTCCGTAAACGTTTGGCTGAACTTGAAATGCGACAGAAGTCACAAGAAGATTCACCCCGACATGTCGCGACGTCGGGAAATGTTGTTGTTGAGGCGGATTCTCCGTTAGCCCCCGAACTTACCGCGGAACCACTTCCTGTCAAAGTAAAAATTCCGCAGATCGGCATGTATGATGGGACGTCGGATCCGGACGCTCATTTAGGTCATTACACATCATGGATGGATTTACATGGAGCTTCAGATGCTCTGAGGTGTCGGATGTTCTCACTCACACTGGGGCCGCGAGCCCAGAAATGGTATTACACTCTTCCACCTCATTCAATTTGGAAATGGCAGCAACTACGTGCGGCTTTCCGGTCACACTTTATCGGTGCTCAGATTTTCCTCATTCTGAAAGAATCGATTACTAACATCGTGCAAAAAGACGATGAGACCGTTAAAGATTATGTGGCCCGATTTAATGACCGGATTCAGAATATGGAGCCATGTCATCCTGAAACTTTGTTAGTAACTGCCATTGCTGGATTGAGGCCCAATTCAATGTTTCGTTGGACCTTATGCCAAAATAAGCCTGCAACATTCCAAGAGTTTCTAGTACGAGCTCAACAATTCATCATTGCCGAAGAATCCATGTCGGTCCCCAGTTTCGACTTTTCAGTAAAAGAAAGTAAGGGTGAACCGGATACTAAGAAGAAAAACAAAAAGAACTTTGGGAAGTCCCAATTTCGGAACTCCTCTAGAGGGTATGAAAATACCCCAGAGTCGCGGGCTGCTCGTGATCAATATTCGGACAACGTCAGGACAGGTTACCACGCTGTTTATTCTGCTGGAGCGGCCACCATATATGAAGAGCTGAAAGGAAAGGGGATTATTCCAGATCCGAGGCCAGTGAGAACTCCTGAAGATAAGTTGGACAAACTCGCTACTGTGCGTGCCACAAATCTCCAGGGCACAATACCGATGAGTGTCTCGGTCTCTTATCGGCACTCTTACGTTTAATCGGCCAACCCCAACTTCAAAAGTTCCGAAATTTTGATAATCGCCGGAAAGGAAGACCTTTGGATTTTTCAGATGATGAAGATGAAGATAACCGACCTGCTAACCAGAAGAAAGCTCGTGTAAATGATAAGGAAGTTTTTACGTTTTCTACTCATGTCGGAACGTCAACCGACAACTACAGGAAACCTAAGACACATGATTCTGCAGATTTTTCACGTAGTATACCTCGGGTCAACTCCAATAACAAACAGTCAGATATGTCCCGACGAAAAGTTAAAGCTTATGCTCGGGAGGCTCAGAATGCCGAGAACCGAGTCATGAATGTCGATCTTCGAGATACCATCAATAAACGGAATTGTCCCATTACGTTCAGTATTGAAGACGCTAATTTGTTCGCTCATCCTCATTCTGATGCTCTCATCATAACTGCCCCAATTGGTGGAATCCCTGTTCATCGAATCCTGGTCGATACAGGAGCGTATTCGAGTATCTTAATGCTCCGAACTTTCAAGAAATTGGGTTTGGACCCAGCAGATATTAGGCCGTGTAACGATCAGATTCAAGGTTTCAATGGAAGCATCTCTTGCCCTGTTGGCGAAATTTTGCTCCCTATTCGATTTGGAGGCTTTGGACCGAAGTCCAAGATTATTATGGAAAACTTCAAAGTTTTGGATGTCCAAAATGAATACAATGCTGTAATTGGGCGAACCGCACTTTATAAACTTCGTGCTGCTGTCTCAATTTTTCATTATGCCTTGAAGTTTCCTACCATTGAAGGAGAAGGCACTCATTACGGAGATCAGCGGGAAGCCCGAAGCTTGATGCTGCTTTCAACTTCACCTAAATTCCATATGATTGAAGGACGGGATGTTAATACCTTTGTTGAGCCAAGTGATCTAACTCCTCGCACCGAGCAAGTTGATCAGTTCACCTCGGACACCGACATGCTTCAGGTACCGACATCTGATACCGACATCCCCATGACGTCGGTCTCGTCTGAAATATCAACAGAAGTCCTGGGCCAAGAACAATCTCCCCATGAAAAAGACATAGAGGTACATGAGGATATAGACCCAAGGATACAGTTCAAAGATGGAAGTCATCATATCCGAGCGGAACCTGTTGAAGATATTGAGATCATTTACGTGGACGGGCTAGAACAACAGAAGTCGTTGCGCATTGGGGCCAGCCTGCAGGAACCCCTTCGGTCGAGTCTGATTCAATTCCTCCAGTAAAACACTGATGTATTCGCATGGAAGCATGAAGACATGAAAGGGATCGACCCACAGAAGGCATGCCATCGTCTCAATTTGGACAAAACTGTAAAACCAGTTATTCAGAAACGTCGGAAATTTGGTCCAGATCGCCAAAAGGCTCTTGAAGAGGAAGTAAATAAGCTCATCGATAATAAATTCGTTAAAGAAGCCAAGTATCCGACGTGGATATCGAACCCTGTTCTGGTTAAGAAAGCAACCGGCCTTTGGCGTCTCTGTATAGATTTCTCTGACTTGAATCAAGCCTGCCCGAAAGATAGCTATCCCATTCCGCACATCGATTATATGGTGGACGCTACGTCGGGACACCAACTTATGAGTTTTTTGGATGCCTATTCAGGCTACAATCAGATTCCCATGCACCCAGATGATGCTGAACATACCTCATTCTATTCAGCCCGAGGCCTCTATTGCTACGTTATGATGACTTTTGGATTGAAGAATGCAGGGGCCACATATCAGAGATTGGTTAATAAGATGTTTGCTCGCCTAATTGGCCATACCATGGAAGTCTATGTAGACGACATGCTGGTGAAGTCGGAACAGGCCCCCGACCATATTGCTCATCTCTCCGAAGTCTTTGATATACTCCGAGAATACTCCATGGTACTTAACCCCAAAAAATGTACTTTCGGAGTTGGATCAGGGAAGTTTCTAGGATACATGGTGAGCCAAAGAGGGATCGAAGCTAATCCCGCTAAGATTCAAGCCATACTTGACCTAGCTCCCCCGACATCTCTCAAAGGAGTCCAAGCTTTAACTGGTCGGTTGGCAGCCCTTAATCGGTTCATTTCAAAATCTACAGATCATTGTAAACCATTCTTTGATGCCATCAAAAAGAAGAAGCCGTTTGAATGGACCATGGAATGCCAAAATGCTTTTGACAATATTAAACAAGTTCTCTTGCAGTTACCAACGTTGCAAAAGCCACTTCCCGATGAGCCCCTCTATTTGTATCTTGGTGTAAGTAATGTTGCTGTTAGTGCTGTCCTTATACGTCAAGACGGACTTCAGCAGTTTCCAGTGTATTATGTTAGCAAGGCCTTGCACGACGCGGAGTTGCGATATCCGCATATGGAGAAGCTAGCCTACGCTCTGATCATTGCTGCACGAAAGTTGCGCCCATATTTTTTGGAGCACTCAATCGTTGTGTTTACGACGTATCCTCTCCGACCAGTCCTTCACCGACCAGACACGTCGGGAAGAATGATTAAGTGGGCAATTGAGTTGGGACAGTTCGACATACAGTACCGACCTCGAACCGCTATCAAGGCCCAAGTACTGTCCGATTTCATTGTTGAATTTACTCCCTCTATCGATTCATCCATTGAAGATCCGACATGGACTCTCTACATTGACGGATCGTCCACCGCTATACGAGCTGGGGGGGGAATTGTCTTGGTTAGTCCCAACCAACAAGTGTTTTGTTACTCTGTGGCATTTACTTTTCCGGCCACCAATAACGAAGCCGAGTACGAGGCCCTCTTATCAGGATTACACTTTGCTGAATCCATGAACGTTTCCTCTCTCCGGATATTTTCCGACTCCCAATTACTAGTCAGTCACATCAACGGCACTTACGAAGTAAAGGAACCACGGCTGTTGCCCTATTTTGATCTTGCTAAAAAGAAGCTGGCGCGATTTAAAATGACGCTGGAGCATATACCTCGGTCATCCAACGTCCAAGCAGATGCTCTTTCGCGACTGGCCTCATCAACCGACTTGGATAATGTTGAATTTGTACAAATCACTCAACAGGCGACCTCATCCACAGTCTCCACCGACGTCGTTATGGTTGATGCCGCCTCAGTAATCCCAGATTCTACATGGATGGACCCGATCATCGACTATCTTCGAACCGGGGCCTTACCTGAAGACTTGAAAGAAGCTCGTGCTCTCCGTGTTCGTGCTGCTCATTATACTATCGATGAAGGGACATTATATAAACGCGGATATTCTACCCCATTGCTCAAATGTTTGTCAGAGAAAGATGCTCAACGAATTTTGCAAGAAGTACATGAAGGAGTCTGCGGCACCCACCAAGGAGCTCAAACTTTGTCTCATAAAATTCTTCGGCAAGGCTACTACTGGCCTACTCTTCGAAAAGATGCTGCGGATTGGGTGCGACGGTGCCACAAATGCCAGATATTTGCTCCCAACGTTAATCAATATCCTGAACTCCTCAAATCAATATATAGTCCATGGCCGTTTGCAAAATGGGGGATTGACTTGATTGGCCCGCTTCCGACAGCAAAAGGGGGAGTTCGGTTTGCTATATTAGCTGCAGATTACTTTACCAAGTGGGTTGAAGCTGAGCCCCTTGCCACCATTACCGAGCAAAAAATGGTGGATTTTGTTTGGAAAATCAATCGTTTGTCGGTTTGGGGTCCCTAACTCCATTATAACCGACAACGGTCGTCAGTTTGAAGGCAAACGATTTTAAAGTTTTTGTGAAGATTACGGCATTAAGCATTTCTTCTCGTCACCCTATCATCCACAAGCTAATGGACAGATAGAGGCTGTAAACAAGATTATCAAGAATGGCCTGAAAACTCGACTTGAAGCTGCAAAAGGATCATGGCCCGATGAATTGCCTTATGTTCTCTGGTCTTATCGAACGACGACAAGGAATTCAACTGGAGAAACTCCGTTCTCGTTAGCTTATGGAACTAAAGCTGTGATACCGGTTGAACTTGCCTCTCCGACATATCGGGTCACTCACTTCTCCGAAGAAACTAACCCAGCAAACTTGAAGGCCAGTCTCGATCTGCTCGATGAATTACGTGCTGACGCCGAAGTTCGCAATGCTGCTTATAAACGACGTAGCGAAAAATATATAAACTCGAGACTCAAGCCACGTTCGTTTGTTAGAGGAGACCTCGTCCTGAAAAGAGTTACTGGTGCTCATGTCGGCCCGTTACAACCAAAGTGGGAAGGACCCTTTAAAGTGAATCGCCAGATCTCTCGTGGTACTTACCGACTTGAAACGTTGGACGGTGTTCCCCTTCAATATCCCTGGCACACAACATATCTGAAGAAATACTACCAGTAAATCTGATGCCGAAAGTCCTGTCCCCGACGTGTAAAAAGTTTTTTGTCCTACTGCTGTACAAGAACCATGCTTTGTTATCAATAAAATTTGTGTGACGAACCCCAATAATTTGTTCGATCACTCGGACCACAATAAATCGGTCCTCGTTGCTAAGGCTAAACGTGTCTCATACCCTGAAGATGGTATGACCTAGCCGAACGCAGCAAAGCCGGATACTTCCAAGCCCTGAAGATGGTTTGGGGAGGCTTATGCTCTACGATACCGAATCCCAACGATGGTTTGGTGAGCTTACAATAAGTATTTCCAGTAAATAGCAAATGTTTTATGATTTGTTCGATTAAGAAGTTTGCGGATGTCGGATAAGCTATAAAGTGTGTCCGATAATGGCAAATTCGATGTCGGAAGTACTATAAGATTACGCCGACGTCGGTAATTCGTATAAATTATTAC